TAGGTTACAAGCTGTTGTATTAAAAAACTATATGTCAGGTGGACATATAGTTTTTTAATACAACAGCTTGTTGTTGGTTATGGTCCCAAGCTGCATTCCACAGGGATCTCTTCTCGGACCGTTGTTGTTTGTGATATATGTGAATGACATCGACTCGTGCCTGCGTTCGTCCTCGCTACTCTGCTTTGCGGACGAAATGAAGATCTTTAAAACGATATCTTCGTCTACAGACGCGATTGAATTACAGGAGGACTTACGTCGTCTCGATTAGTATTGTAGGATTAATAAGCTTGATCTCAATCCCTCTAAATGCTCAGTGGTTACATTCACTAGGAAACATACTACACAATTTAATGACTATACATTGAGTGGAACGATCTTGCCTAGACAAAATACTATCCGTGTCTTGGGTGTACACCACGACAGCAAACTAATCTTCGACGTACATATCGACAACATCGCAAAGAAGGCTTCTAAAGCACTTGGATTTATCATGCGCCTTTCTAAGTCTTTTACTGAAGCTAAGACTCTCAAAATTTTATACTGCACGTTCGTCAGAAGCCATCTTGAATATGCCTCGCTTATATGGAGCCCACGCTACCAGGTGTATATAGACCGTTTGGAAAATATACAGAAACGTTTTATCAAATACCTTTGTTACCATCTTTGTTACTCTAATAATTATCTTCAACTTTGTAGACAGTTTCACATATTACCGCTCTCTGACCGACGGGAAATTGCTGACTATTTATTTATTCTAAAACTACTAAATAATGATATAGATTGCTCTGAGCTTTTAGCCAAAATATATCTTAATATTCCATGCAAATCAACTCGTTTCAATCCACCACTAAGAGTACCTCGAACTACAACGTATTATAGGCAAAATAGTTTTATTGTGCGGGCAAGCAGAAAATTCAACAGATTATGCAAACAGCACGATATTGACCCCTTTGCTATTCCTTCGGCTAGAAGGTGCTTGAGTCGTTCCTTTTTTACCTCAGTTCACAATACTTAAAACCTAAAATGCATACATAACCCAGGAGGCTAGTTGAGACCGTGATTTAGCTTATTTATAGTCTGTAAATTTTTTTTACTGTTTCTTTTTCTCTTTTTTTTTTTGATTGCACCTCAAATTATTAATATAGTGCTATAAGTGAAGACTTGTAATTGGCTTTCAGGCAATTATTGTAATTTGTAACGTTTTGAACAATTGTAGCTGTAAGTCTTCCATGCTCTAATTAAATAAATATATATATATATATATATAAAGGATACCTCAGTAAGAGTACACTTTTTCATTTTAAAATAAAAAAACGTATTTTATGAAAGAGTTGTGATATTTTTATTGGGTTGTAGAAGACATGTTCCGATTAAGTATGGAATAAATATCTGGCAAATGGCCCCAACGGCTCTGATGACAGGCCATTACTCTTTTCATGATCCCTGATTTGAGCTCAGAAATTTTTTCTGGTTTATTCGCATAAATCCAAGATCTCACAAAACCTTAAAGAAAACAAAAATAAATTAAATTGCACGATCTTGGTGGACACTTGACATCAAAATTTCGTGAGATAATGTGTTCTGGGAATCGTTGCTGCAAAAGTCAATTGTTTCATGCGCGGTGTGCAGTTGGCGCCGTCCTGCTGAAACCACTGTGGTCCAGATCCATAACGTCCAGTTGAGGCCACAAGAACTCCGTTATCATATTCCTGTAACGAATGTCGTTCACAGTCACTGCAATTTGGGCCTAAACTTCAAAAAAATAAGGCCCAATCCAGCTGACCAAAATCCGCACCAGGCAGTTGCTCGTTGTGGGTGCATTTTGGTTTGAGCTCCTGAGTTAGCTGAATCTTGTACGCACGAAGATAGAGGTATTTTCTCGAAATTCGCTGCGTGCTTCGTTAAAATTTGCAGTTGTTGAGAACGATGCCGCATTGATGTTTTTCGGGTTTTCGTTTCGTTTACAGCAGCAATGTTTTCAAGAGACAGACCGGTACGTTGACGCATAGGATTTTTAATATCCATAATCGACCCAGTTTCTTCAAATTTTTTGACCACTCTTCGAATGGTTGACACATTAGGTGCACTTTCTTAACTAAAAATTAGGCGAGGCTTGCGAGCGGTTTCAACGTAATTTGCCCATTTTTGTAATGAGTTTTCACAATTATAATGCGTTATTCTTTCGAAAAGCGCTCCATTTATAATAATCGGAATATACATAGGTGACAACTGTCAAGTTTCATAGTTGCCACATGTACGTAAAAAAATATGATTCTAAATTTAAAAAGTGCACTCCTACTGAGAGATGTCTGAGTAAGAGTGCACTATATATACTACTATTACAACTGCAAGCTCAGTGCACCTACCTCACCGGATTTCTTCACCTCCCAAAGATTGGACTGGTAGAGAATACCCTGGGCATTAAGTCCGCCGATGTACACAAGGGCATAAAGTTGTAAATTAAATAATACATTTTAATTATCACTCTTAATTCGATTTAGTGATTAGCGTTTTAAATCTTTAAACATAATTGAATTTAATCGATCACAATATTTTAAGACAAAAATTTGATAATTAAGAAATAACTCTATTTATCAATTCGACATGGTTATTCTAGGAAGTTATTATTTTTAGCTCACATAGTTCAATTCTGTTCGGTTCTGAAACCCACCACTACTCTTACAGGATGGGGCTGACCTCATCCTGTATTGGTATTGATATTGGTTGTGGGCGCCGATTTCTGCATTTAGACTCGAGAGTAGTCCTTTATTCGTCTAGAAGAGGTTGACTAGGTGAGCCAACCAAGCTCCTTCCAAAAGCGCAGGTGCCTCCTTACAGCGGCTGTTTCTTCTGCTTTCAGGCATCCTCAACAAAGAGAACTGTCCATCGCATTAATGATAAATAGTTGTCAGTTCAGAGCTAGGTGTCCTGTAATGGTTCCTACAACTATTCGAATATCTAGTCTGCTAATAACGATCAGTCTGCAAGTAAGTCGTGGTGAGACTTCAGTCAGCACCAGTTTGGACTGTCTGCAGCCGGGTGAGTTTTTTCACCTTCGGTTGTGCGCTTCACTAGTACTTTGTCTAACCCAGGACCAAAGTTGGTTAAATGGCAGAGGCAGGAGTGTGGTTAGGCCGGTAGCGGGGGTTGCCGGTAGGGTACATTACATTTATTATAGAAATATGAATGAACATTATAAAAAAGGTTTGCTGAAGCGGTTAACGATCTGATAAACAACGTGCATTCAGTAGGTTTTTAAGAAAATACATAATATGAAATGATAGGCTTACTAGATTAATATTCTTTTTCTTTGTTAAAACAACATTAGGATTAAGACAACTCCCGCATAAGGAATATATCCTGTGTCGCGGGGGACTTTACAAATATACTTGAAACGGACACAAAGAACACCCAGACTCAGAACAACAATCTGTGAAACACACAAAGTGTTCTCCCATGTGGGGATCGAACCCATAGCACTCAGCGCCATATAAAGCGGTGAGGTGACCGCTTAAACCACTACGTCATCCGTGCAGTCATATAAGAAAGTTACATCTGATAAGTCTATAATGTTAATACGTGAAGTTAATTCTTTGTATTCTCTTTTAAGCAAATATAGCGTACGGGGAATTTCACATTTTGAACACCTAATATTTGAACATAAAAGAAGTGCAAAAAGCTAAAAGTGTTAAAATTCACTTGGTCTAAAGTATACATAGTATACATTGCACAAAGGTCTTTACAACAACAGTTCAAGTTATACTGGTCTGAAATACAGGAAAACAAGACATTTAAAACGATCCGAGATTTCTAGTACAAAATCGATGTTATTCTGTATTGACGACTTCAAAATTGGTGGTTACAATCATTTACCTTTATCATATTGTAGAGGAACAGGTGTCATGTCCCTCTAACACAACGTGAGGATTCTCCAGGCGAGATGATCATGCGAGATGATCATGCCTACATAGCTCTTAATCAAGGTGAATGTCAAGGTAGAGTATTCTGGATTTTTTTTCTAGAATACGATTACTTCGTAAAAGGCTTCAAAATGTCGCTTAGCTAAATTTAATGAAACTTAGCTAAGCGACATTTTGAAGTCTTTTTGAATTTAATCGATATCGATATCGATATCGATATGATAATATCATATTCATATTCATCATTTAGAAAACAAAACTCTTTGAAATTATCGGCTTAATAAAATAAATTATTACGTTGCAGATAAAATTATCTAATTCGATGTGTATGATAGATTTTTCATCATATTTGGTAAAAAAGGGGTAAGTACAAAGAATTTCTTCACATTTTAATGTATGGATTTCGTCAAGGAAAGTAGGAAATTTTAGGAAAAGTTAAGAATAGTATCATATTTTATGTTTAAATATGACTAAACTTTATGCCTCAGCCTATGCTTGTCCAGCAGTGGACAAGCATAGGCTGAGGTGATGATGATGATGATGACTAAACTTTTACCTACTTGCGTTTACAAGCAAATAAATAATTACTATAACCTAAAATTATAATGATTTTTCAATAATGCTTTTAAATTAAATTAATTTAAGTTTAATGTTTATAAATAGGTTCTATGTCTAAGGAATCAAGAACGAAAAATTAAAGCTTTAAATGATACTTATCATAATATTTCAGAATTACTGATAATTTTAAAAACGAAAAGAAAATCATAATTACAACTTTAGAAATTTCACACATGGCCATACTTTCACCTCAACAATCACAGTATTTTAGAACGACTCATTATTTAAAAAAGGAAAAAAGAATAAAATATAGATTTAAACATGGTGCACATAGGAATCCGACTTTAAATTAGGCAGAACCTATGCCATGGCAATTAGGTTGCCTATAAACGTATATACGAGTATTACTAAATACGTACTTACAATAGCTAAATTACACCTAGACATAATCACACAATTTTATCATCTTGGTGGGAATTTGAAGACAGTACAATAAATAAAAATGTTAATAATACTCACCTATCCCATCGCCGACTAACAAATGTAAGTGTCCAATGATGGGCAACATGCCAGGGTATAAGGGTGGTAGTTTATGCCCACTCTTTACTTGCACTTTCCACACCCAGAACGTGAATACACATATTAAAACACTAAATAATACACCACCAATCATCGTTGCGCATTTGTTGAGATCTCAAGCGTTTTGATCAGATTGCACAGTGAAACATTTTTATAAAGAGCTTTCTTGAACCACAACCTTCTGAATGTTACGCCGCGCCGCCTATCTGTTGCTTCGTAAGTTCGCTCGCTTTGGATATAAAACACAAACAACGTTTTTATTCTGTGTAGAGAGACTCTTTGCCAAGTGAAAGAATAATTACCGTTACGGTATTCGAAAGCCCCATTATTGTCAATTATTAGCCATCGGCTAAATATGTAGGTCGCATGCATTTTAAAATAAATTAAGCTCTTTACTTCTTTTTTCGGTTTATTATTTATTTATTATTATTATTATTTATAGTTGTTATTATTGGTTATTTATTGCAACAAATTATCTATTATAAATGGTGAAGGATTAAGAATACGGAATGTCACCACCCCTATTCATTCTGTGGGTGTCGTAAGAGCCGATTAAGGGAACAAACTGCACAGGACAAGAGCACTTCAAAAAGAAGGAAAACTAGAAACAAACCCTATACCAACCCGTTTGGCCAGCGTGGTATAGTAGGCCAAAACCTCCTTTCTAAGGAGAGGCCTATGTACAGCAGTGGACTATTAAAGGCTGTTGATGATGATGATGAATTATTGCAATGCTAAAAAAAAATGTTTAGTACTTTACTAAGTTTATCTACTGTGATCTAATAAACCATGTGTTAATTTGTGATGATATGCGAAAAACTTCAATCAGATTTTGCACATTGGTATGAACAAGAACACACAATACATAGTTTTACGGCTTTTCACTACCACACAGTTTGATACTATTATAAATAATCTCATAGACCCCATACTTTAAAATCCCGCAGCTTACGTGTTTTGTAATATTCAAATAACTTATCTAACCTATTTAGATAAGTTATTTTGTTGCTCTATAGTTAAGTTTCATTAGTTTGAATGTTCCACAATTGAGCAAGTTTGAAATATTATTTGAATGTTACAAAACACGTAAGCTCCGGGATTTTAAAGTATGGGGTCTATGAGATTATTTATAATAGTATCAAACTGTGTGGTAGTGAAAATCCCGTCAAAAATTTCAACAATTCTTAAAAAAACAGACTCTTGCAATGACCCAAAATAACATTAGATAGCTGGAAGTTTTCAGGGTTTGTCTTTGCATCGCATTCATCAATATGCGTCTGTCGCAATTGAAAAAGAAATCTTATATTTTATGCATCATCCGCTATATTTCCTTGACCCTTTGTGATTTATACCAGTTTTACTTATTTTGTACATATTCCCGTATCTCGTTTTATGTCGAATGATGAGATAAACCTTGGTCTGCTTTATACTTCGCAAATATTGCTTCATTGGTTATGCATTTACTTTATGAGATTCTCTGTCTGTTTATTCAGTTTAAATAAAAGGACTTTGATATTGGACATGCTTTAGCACAAATGAGCAGGCTCGACCGGAGTGATACCACGGTCTAACAGGAAACCAGTGTTAGATAATTTTATGGCTGCTTTTCACGAGAGGTTCCTGGTGCCCAAACCCTACGGCCCCCTGATTATTAGGTCTCAAAAGTGTACAACGCACTTGTTAATTTTGATTTGTCGATGGGTGGCAATAGTCACTTAACATCAGGTGACCCATCTGCTAGTTTGCCTCCCCCCCCCTATACCATAAAAAAAAATTGAGCATTGATATCTTTGGGAACGCTTTGTAGCCATTAATTCTTATCATATGTCAGGTGGCTGAGTTAGCAAAAACCAAATTCTACGTTCTTCAGAATGAACTGAAATACTGAATACAAATGAACGTACATACGGTCAGATTTTTAAATTATATAGTGAGATGACGTCTTACAATTTGAAGCATTGTAACGACGTGGATGACGTTATACGAAAATTGTTGGATTCTTTTGAATCCTTATAAAAAAAATAAGGCGCTAAACCGTTATGTCAATCAAGACATAACGGTTAAACGCCTTGTTTGAAGATTGTGGGCCATTAATTAATATCTATTATGATATGTGCGAACGATAGTAAATCAGAATTGAAATTTGATCGAATATTTATTACGAGGATGACCCTCTGGTTTTGTTTCGTTGACGACTATAGTTTGAACTTTCATTGTAAGCATAGTGTACTTTCTTACTATCAAATATATCAAATAGGTCAAATATATATTATTATTAAAACCATTAGAACTCTCTAGTTTTATGCAGTCGTTTTAACACAATTTTTAGGGTTCCATGCCTCAAAAGGAAAAATCCAGAAACCTAATAGGATCACTTTGTTGTCCGTCTGTCAATTCCTTTTTCTTGGGAACGCGTAGAGGCATTGAGTTGAAATTAAATCCGAAAGACCAACAGTCACTCGAAGCTGTGAAAAAAACAAGGTTCTAAGTTTACGTAAAAAAAATGCATATTTCGACATTCTCAAGGGAATCAAAATTTGTAGGTTATTTCCCGTTGACTTAGAGCTGAAATTTTGCAAGTAACTACTAGTATAGGGAAAAATCTGGCAACTATACATTTTTAAATAAATAATAAAAAGTATGGTCTTTAGTAACATACGTAATGAATCATCGAAATACAATTAATAATAATAATAAAATTCTACCACATACACACAACGCCATCTAGTCCCAAACTAAGCAGAGCTTGTACTATGGGTACTAGACAACTGATATAAATACATATATACTTTTTTTTTTGTAAATACATACACATTATACATAGAAACACCCAGACCAAATCAAACATCAAATGTTCATGCACACAAATGTTTGACTTGAGCGGGAATCGAACCCGCGACCTTTGGAATAGCAGTCCGTTACACAAACCACTACGCCATCCGGTCGTCAATTACACTTAAAAACACAATAATATAACGAATTATAGGTTTTGGAAACTGAATTTCCTAAAAAAGCTCGGTAAAGACTCGATTCCTGAACTATTTATAATATGTACCTACAAATTTCAACAGAACCCTCGATAGGCGAGTCTGTTGTACGAATTTTTTAATTTTATTGATAATGATTAAATAATTGACATCATCGAGTACAATTCGAAGGGCTGGAAAAAATCCTATCCTATGTCATGAATAGGCGAATTTTTTAAGTAAAATTTCTAAGGAACATATGACTACTTACGTGATTAATAAATGTATAAATGTATACGAAAAGAGGTAGGGCTACCGGTTTAAGGTCAATGGAAAATATACAGAATCCATCTTAGCATTCGCAGACGACCTCGCGATCCTCACACATAACCTAAAGCAGTGCCAAGAACTACTACGTAAGGTGGATGACTTCTACTGTCTGTACCTGGACGGAAAGCATGATGACAAAATCTAGCAAATGCTATTGCCTTTGTCTATGCCGGCGAGGCACCAGATGTACCTCATATGACCCCGGGATTACTATTAGTGGGGAAAGTGTTTCAATAATATCAGAAACCGTGCGCTTTAAATTCCTTGGAAGAAAGGTCGTACTCCATCTATGAACGCAATAGTCGATAACCTTGTAAAAGACATTGACAAGGTAGACCTACAGCCAATAAGTAACGTACAAAAAGCTTGGATTTAAGACAACTACTTAACATCACGTCTTAACACGTTATCTTAGTCTTAACATCACGTTTCTGGTATACGATATAAACCAGAACCAGTAAGATATTGAAGTCGTGGCTAGGGCTAGCAACATCTGCAGACCCGTCAACGTTGTACAGGGGCTCGAATAATAAGGGGAATGAAATAAAAAAGATCTTCAGAACTCTACAAACACCTAAGATTTACCAAAATGCATGTCCTGTCAAAATCACAAGACGAAATCGTTAGATCTTTTCAAATAGACAAAAATTCACACAAGAAATTCATGGTGGGTACGCAGTCCAGTAGAATTGAATAGGGAAATGCAAGAAGACAGACCGACAAAGAGATAACAAACTTCTGACTGAAGTTATTCTTTTAATATGTGCTAAATAGCGCCTGGTATAATGTGTAGTACAATACTTACGAATAGCAAGGCCGTCAAATTCATCAGGCGTATTCTGTTTTATGAAGGACCTAAAAAAACAAATATATATTCTTTTGGAATGGAATTGTTTAATGATATAATAAGTCTTTTGAAAAAATTTTACCAACTTGTCTAGGATCTGCGTTCCCCCTCTTTGCCCCAAAGAAAGATGGACAACAAAGTATTTTGTTCTATTTGCTAAAAAGAATAATCGGGGTTAAAGGATTGGAACAAATTATTGGCCTACATACAGAAAAACATAATGAGGAAATATCTTGAGAGAATTCAAAGAATAAGATTTTGAATTTCTTGAAAGGAAGGATTTGATCATTCAAAAACTTTAGTTTAAATCGTCAAAATTATTCAAATCCTCCTGAAACCCTCTCTAGTTAGAAGGCAGATACTTTGTATTTGTATACTACTATTGTATACTTTGTAAATAGGAATGACAATATGACTTTTAAAGGAACACAGCATAGTGAGTACCTACTACTTTTCGCTAATAGATGTCGTTAAAATATTTTTATTTTTTAACTTATTGCGTGGGCTTAATAGTATACATATACATTATATATGTATGTGGTTTTTAATATGACAATTAGTATGACCAATTAGGCCAAAGATGGCGTTACATTAATGAATCCAAATCAACACTTTATTAGTTAATAAGGGATCACAGATTATTAGGGGGTAATCTGTGTTTGTCGGGGCACCAGGGACTTCCTTTCTAGGGTATACCTGGTTCCCCGGCTATTAGTACCCGAGACGGCGTGCGGTTTTAGTCGGTTCGAGTCCGACATGCCGCCATTTTGTCGGTGGTATCCGAGGGGATCTGTGTAAGGGACCCATGGGAGAAGTTTAATAGGTTTAATAGTCCACTGCTGGATATATGCCTCTCCTTAGAAAGGAGGTTTTGTCCACGCTGGACAGACGGGTTGGTCCAGGGTTTGTGTCAAGTTTTCTTTCTCTTTGCAGTGCTGCTTTTGCAGTGTTTGTTTCATTAGTCGGCTCCTACGACACCCACTTGATGAATAGGGGTGGTGACATTCCGTATTCTTAATACGTCACCACACGGATATATTTAAGACTTATTTAACATCGAACTCGAATTAAATAAAACCATTTTCAATGGTACAAGATTCACTGAACGTATTCTGTGATTGTCATGGCTTGACTCTCATCGTGCCAGACCTTTCGTTGAGACTGATGCTCTCAGGAGTTCATGGAAGTTGGAGATTGTTTAGCACTCTCCAGTGTTTGATACATCTGCTGAAGCACGGGACCTGACAGCTGATTCTATCACATTCCCATGTAACCTACTAATTTTGTGTTAAATTTGTGCTCTATGGATGTTTTGACTTTTCCTATTGCGTATCTATTTGTTTGAGTTGAAATATATTTGACTAGGCAATTACATCATGAAATGATTTTTGACTAATTGATCTAAAACGTTTATCGGTTTTTGATTACTGAAAACATAGAATAATGTGCGGTTATCGTCTAGCTGTGAACGCCACACCCTGTCACGTAACCCGAGACTTACGGAAAGAAAGTCGCACCTGAATTAATAATACACAATATATTATGAAAAAAAGTTTTGCGCTGCCAAAAAGTGTCGATGATATTGAAATTGGTTTTTATACATATGTATACTTGGATAATCATGAATCCCTGTAAATCAGGTAATAAAGATAAAACTACCCTATATTTGTCATTGGTTTATCACTTAAATAAGCTTTGTTGTTACTGCATTCAGGATTATTATCTACTCTTTTGTTTTGATAAATTTAAATGTTATTACCGGTAATAACGTTCTCATAATAATCACAGACAAGGAATTCTTGTTGTTGTTAAAATTAAAAACGTAATTCTTCAAGTATTATGTTAATTGAAACTTTGTTTCCGTGCAAACAACTCTCGGTTGGATAAATTAATTAAACTGTATGACGTAGCGATTAAAGCACGATTATTTTTCAAACCTGGTAGTCGCCCTCGTCTATACCGCGTCTACTTGTTTATCATCACTTGTTAACAGAAATACTTAGATATTGGATACACCCTACATACTAGAAGACATTCCTTTCAAACAATCTCTGGATAGTTTATAATAAGTGCGTCGGCTTATTTCTGCCCATTTCTTTCTCCGTAAACACTCCATTACTTACACTCCTTATATTATACCAAAACGCATCAAGAAAGAGGTGTTATTCCATCATTGATGATTATAATTTATACTCTGAACTGAGAGAGATAATAAAAAACAAAACACTTTTATTATCTACGTTTTTAATTAATACCTTAACATAACAAGCTATACCTTATCAATACGTACAATGTTTAATACTTGTATTAGCGATATCTGGTCCATCCATGAAAGAATTGCTTATTAAATAATTACAACTTTTTAGACAATAAGCATCTGGACATTTTCGGGCTATTAATTACTAATCAATAGAAGAAGAAACTGACTTAAATGGAAGCATGAAATTTTGCACAAATATTCTTTAGGTGACGGTTGTTTTTCAGGTAGTAAAGCTTCCGGCAGGACTGTTTTTACATGGGCAGTTTTACGTTGTGTGTTCTCGTAGCTCCATCGACAAAAATGGCTAAAAATGTTGTGTATAAAGAAATATTGTCATGATAACCTAACGATGCACCTTTATCTACGAACGTTGTCCTAGCAGTCAGTAAATCAGTCAGCCAGTTAGTTTGATCTTCTTTTATTCATATACCTATAATCTTGATTCATTGTATCTCCTACGATGTCTGATATCGACCACCACGCGGACGATGAAGTCAAAAGCTATAAGCAAAAGTCAAAAAAGAAGTCAAAAGCAAAAGTTATAAGTTAAAAATTGAACTCTTGCTTTCTATTCAATATATATTTCTATAAAATATAAGTACAAAATGGACACAAAGGATGAATGGCTTTCTTACTAATCTTATTTTACTACTATTATGGTATAAATGCAAAAGTTTGGATCCATGTTGTAACTGAATTCTGCCAGAACGGCTGAACGGATCTGGATGAAATTTGGCACAGAAATTAATTATATTTATGGAAAGCACATAGGCTACTCTTTCTCTTAAAACTTTCGGGTAACGAAATCGACATTAATGCAAGCAAGTCGCTTCCGAAAACTAGTAATTTTGTAAACAGAAAATATGAAAGTTTACTAATCCATTGTCTCAAAAATGTAAATCCTTAATTTAAACTGTAACATAGTGGTAGGAAATAGCGATTAACAGCTTATAAAATATACAAATATCTGTAATCGTTGATGTAGTTGATCTATTCATGCATGATAACACAATGATTAGATTTACGCTACAAAGAACAAATTTCCATAAAAAAAGAATATCGTAGTACATGTAGCATCTTAATCTTACGCTCTATTCTAGTCTCTCCTCTCTATGCTAATCAATGACCCCGAGACTGGTTTGAGCAAAAAGTCGATCTTGAGTTTCAGCTGGCTGATGTCTGCTGTGATCTTGAACCGTCGGAGCACGTGAGAGAGAGTAGTCTTCATGGATAAAGTTGCAAATGTTCGCCCTGCAAAAAATATGCAAAAGATTTATGTACAATCGAATGGTTCCATTGTGAGACATTGTCATCACAGCTGTTAGGTATAATTCACATCATACATTTTTCTGAATACATATGTCTCAGACATCCTTAGTTTCGTCATTAATATTGTAAGTGTATCCTTTAGTATGATCCACTTATACGAAGATTCACAATTTGAAAATATAAGAAAATAACTCTAAGGAAAACGGATATTCAAAAAAATTTCAATTCAGACAAAACTCATTTGCTCAATTACTTACATGGACAATAACAAATGGATCTTGTTTTTTTTTGTGATTAACTTAGTTATAAAAGTGTGGGATATTTTTACATACTAAGCAGAAATGGATGAAGTGAATGTAGTAATTATAAAAAAGATTTCAAAGCTTAAAGAACTTTCAGAAAATATAATTCAAAGAAGACTGGCTGTTATACTGACTTAAAACAGGTTTTGAATGGAGTAATAACGCTACTTTGGTAAAATAACACGACAGAGAAACAAACCCATGCAAGCTCTCTTCCCAATACTGAATCCAGCAAACATGTTAGGGTTTGGCACATTGTTAGGGTCGAGCCAACGCTCCGGCCTGAATTTTTCAACATCTGGGCCCCAGCTGGGATGGTAATGGACACCGTAGATGAGTAACGCACATTGACTGCCAGCAGGCATCACGTAATCCTCTGGAATTGAACAGCGCACATATTAATTCCAGTAATCTCTAACTTTCGAACTGAATAATTTTTGTATTTCTTATTCAATAACATTAAAAAGTAACTAAGTTTGTTGTTACACTTATATGGCTTAGCTAACTTAAAATGTTAGAAATAAAATAAATGAAAGAAAAGCATACTCAGCTGTACATCTTTGTCAACGTATCGTAAGACCACAGGTGCAGTCGGATATAATCTCAATGTCTCTTTGATGACGGCATCAGTGTAAACCATCTTCGGTAAATCGTCCTTCATCAAATCTCTGTCTGTGCCTTCAAATATTTCAACCATCCTGATGGGTTAGAAAATAAACTTTATTTTATAAACCAGTATTCCGAAATGAATTCAAAATGTTTGCAGCAGCAGCTCTCTAGTAGTAGTAATACTGACAGATTAATAGTATGAAAACTCAGTTGAGGAACTTAAACTAGGTTAAAGTAACCATTACAAAAAGAATAACAAGACAGTTAAATATTTTCACCAAGTCATGTTAATGCGAAGTTATGATAATAAAAAAATCCTTGCGTCATTCTAAAAAGGTTTAGTCCTCTTTCTTCTTTGTTTTGAAGCTTTTTTTATAAGCTGTTTAATGATATATTTTATATATATAGTGAAAGGGATAGAAAGTATTTTGTCACTATTTTTGACGCTATTTTTATCAATAAATTAATGAATGAATATGTTTGAATTTAAGATCATTGAGCAACCGACTAGTTTCAAAGAGTAAATTCAACTTACTCATTATACATCTTTTCTTGAGTTTCAGGATACGTTCCCAATAGCATCATGATATAAGCTAAAAGACAGGAAGTAGTATCGTATGACGCTACGATTGCCGTATCAACTTCTTCTCTAATTTCTTTGTCAGTTAGAGTATTCTCTTCTGATAGTTCAATCAGAAGGTCCATCAGAGCTTTGCATTTTATACCTGAAATTATATATTTTAAGTAGGTTGAATTATAGCGAAACAGGGCATGAACTTGCAACTTAAAGTTAACGCTGCATACTAGCAGGGGTCTTCCCTCGTAATTAATTACTATGTTTAGATTTACATTTTATTCTAATGATTGGCGGCTTCAAATGCAACGGATATTCAGCTGGCAAAAATTGCGAAAATATGTTAACTGTAAGGGGCATAGCAGTGCAACCGCCAAGTCGAGCAAAACAAAGGGGCACGCCCATATCATCCTGTTCTCAAAGCCATTGAGGCCATTGGATTTTCTACAACGTCAACAAAAAAAGGGCCATTTTCAAAATCCTATAATTTGGTGATGGTTAAAACTAGAATTTTCAATAACAATAGGGTATAATATGACTTAGATAAATTCTCAATAACATTCAATATGAACTTGTAGTTTAAGAACCCTTGAAAGTTCCTTAGTTTTGTCATTAATACACTCCCTATCTGACTCATTATCATAATTCTAAGGCACTTCTAGTAGATCTCAAAACTTTTCTGTTAAAGAAGAAGAGCGTTACAAGACTTGCATCTTTTTACATGTAATGTTTTTGATAAGGTATCAAAGCGGTTGCAAATTCATAGTAATAAAATAATTTATTATTATTATGGTTTTGCAACCGCTTTGATACCAAATGTCTCGTATTTTGTCACGCCTTAGATCATTCTTTAACATCATTATTTTTAAGTTGCCTAGAATTAATTTCTACCTGTAAATCATTTACGTACCTGTAGTTTTTCTTTGCTCCTCCCATTCAGCACGTGGTATAGTTTTTAGCTGTTCTTTTTTTCTTTTAATAACCTGTAAAAAATTATTATAATCGCTTTTGAGTTGTTTTGCTTTTAGTCATTGGTAATGATACCTTTGCATAGCCTTTGCAAAAGCATGCAAATACAATTCTTAAGATTAAGTTCGTGTTATACAGGGTTTTCCAATAAGAGGTGTTATTTTAGTATTCAAAGAAAAATGCAATTTTTTAAGATAAATAATCGGCTGTTTATTTTACAATAAAGAGGAAGGTATGCCGTTAATAATGGAAGATAACATAAGCCAAATGGCTACCACGACCACGCTGACAGGACCATATCCTTTTAATGAAATTTTGCATAACCAAATCGCAAAGTGGCTGCCCTATGTCCTCGATAGCCTCACGAATTCCATCTTTGAGGTCTTGAATCGACGCTGGGCTGTTGGTGTAGACCTTATCTTTCACGTGGCTCCAAAGGAAGAAGTCGCAAGGTGTTAAATCACAAGATCTCGGTGGCCAATTGTGATCACCTTTTCGAGAGATAATACGGTCAGGAAACTTTTCCCGTAAAAGAGCAATTTTTTTTAAATATATTTGTATTACTCTCACAAAAGAAGAAATTTGAGCTTGTTCGATTTTAGTTTTTGACAAGGCCATAAGGAAAGTAAAAATGAAAATTAAGCAACTAGGTACTTACGGTATTAGACATAGCATTCAAAACTTTGACGACTTGATCCTCGCGTTTCTTTAGATCAGTAAAACTATAGATGAATTCGCTTTGTAACCAAAAGTTCTGGAACCTCAAGGCAATGATATTCAAGATTTGATCTACTGAATGCATATATAATTTGTTAAATTCCTTGTCTTCATCAGCCGTGATTCCAAAAGCCGTTACTAAAAAGAAAAAGAAACAATGATTGCTGACTTACTGTTAAACAAATATTGTTCAAACTTATGTAGAAATGAAAATCTAAAAATAGATTTTGTATTGAGTCAGCTGGTTTCAAAGTCCTTTTTTTACATTCATATTTCTGTCATATTTCTGTCTGATACATCAAAGTTCAACAAAAAGTAAGAACTATTTTCTAATAATGATATTAACGGTTATTTAAAGTACATATTCTATACATATACAATCATCGGCTATAATTATAATACATATGTTAGCACCTAGCATAAGATCGGTTTGACTCTATATCGCATTGAATGTGTTACAGAATTAAAAATGCATTTATGATTCTTCTAATAAAGGTAGTCAAGATCTGTTTCCATACAACGAATTATTTTTATTTCAATTAAATAAAAGTAATTAAAAATATAACCATCTTTAGGCCTTTTGTATTCCAATAATAATGTATTAGGATCGGCTTTCTTTGCAGTGCGGACTTGTGGAGACAGTGATGTATTACACAAACGTATCAATATGTTTAAATATATCTTTTGTATATATTTTTTATATGTTTCGGACATCTGACACAACGCCCTCTAGTTTCAAACTAAGCAGAGCTTGTACTATGAAAGCAAGATTACCTGATAGAATACTTAATACATTTTATTTTTTTGTAAATACATACACATTATACATAGAAAACAGCCAAACTCCGAAACAAATACATGCAGATCATACAAACATTTGGTCCGACCTGGGTATCGAACAAGAGACCTCAGCATAGCAGTCGCATACGCTACCACTTTGCCCCCGAGGCAGTATCTACCTTATAACCTTTAATATTTTTACTATACCATTTTTGATAAAGGATACCTAGTTTAATAGAAGAAAAAACTAACGGACATCGTACGACCTAGACTTACAAATATTTCTAACTTATAGAACCGGTTATGTAAGTTTCGATACAAATCTTAAACAAATATTGGATATTTATGTCTTCTTTTCGGGTTTTCTGTTCTCTTTGGATACACAAAACCAAATATAGGCAAAATGAGGTATTTTTTATCAAAAATATCTAATGCTTAGACAGTTCCAACTTTTTTGTGACAACCGGATAGATTTACAGGTTCCTTAGCGACCCTGACCTAATCAAACTATTATCAGCACACCCAAATCAAACCGTATAAACTTTTACACCCAAATCAAACCGTATAACCTTTTATACAATTGACATCCCTTTGCCTACCTATGTTCCCATTCATTATCATCCCAGTTTCCATCTAATGTCCAACAGTACCTAGTTTTAGGCATCGATTGTGTTTTATATCATTATAACTTTAAATTATAACTTTAAATAATTTACAAACAACATATGTGCAGTACCTAGTTTTAGGCATCGATCAATATTTCTTACAAATAATGGTGATATGTATTAAATAATGTATGTATTTCGACTGCAATTTACGATTTATCTATTTCATTCAAGCTTGTTCTGGCAGAAATATAGTAAATCAGTATTATTGTAATATATTAAAACTATTGGTGTATTAAAATACTTACAACACACTGTCTCTAAAGCTATATACTTCAAGGTAGCGAGATGATCGAATTCACCTCGTCCGACTTCAGCGTCGAAATGTTTGACTTGTCTTCTGGCTTGCTCATTAAATACTCCCAGAAAACTGTCGAGTACTTGAAGATTGAATGCTGGATTCAGGAGTTTACGATGACGTCTCCAGGTTGGACCTGTTCAACAATATTGATTTTTAATGTTATCGGATCGACTTAGTGCCATGACTTAGAGCCGAAGCACCATTCTCCAATGATCTACGTTGGAGAATGGTGCTTCGGCTCGACCGGAGTGATACAACGGCCTAAAAGAGAACCGACATTAAGAACTTTTTTCGTAGCTTTTGGTCGAGTCAGTGAGTTTACCGGAGACCTTAACCCGTGCCCCCAATTCAGGTAGGGGCACTCAAACGGCGTCAACTCACGTGTTCATAAGGTTCTAGGTGTCCAAGGGCGGCGATAGTCGTCCACCGTCCGGTAAGCTCGTTTAAAAAATGTTAGAGTAACCTTTGTTAGAGTAGCAATAATAATAATAATATTCCACCACATTCACACAACGCCATCTAGTCAAAAACTAAGCAGAGTTTGTACTATGGGTACTAGACAACTGATATAATACATAAATACTTTTTTTTTGTAAATACATACATATTATACATAGAAACACCCAGACCAAATCAAACATTAAATGTTCATGCACACAAATGTTTGACTTGAGCGGGAATCGAACCCGCGAGCTTTGGAATAGCAGTCACACAAACCACCACACCATCCGGTCGTCAAAACCTTTTTTCTAAAGAGAGGCCGTGTCCAGCAGTGGACTATTCAAGGCTGTTGATATGATGATGTGATGTGAGCCTTTTTTTAATGTGACTCGCGTTGTGTAAAGTTACTCACAAAATTTTTGCTACAATCGCTAGCTAAAAATAAAAGTGGGACAATTGACAGTCGGACTCGAGTACCGATTATTCATTTGTATCTGTAGGTATTTGTCAATTTCCAGAATTCCAGAATTTTCAGGATTAACTTAGTCATCATGCCAAGCGACAATAAAAAGTTGTTATCTTAAAAAGATGTGTTTTTGGTTAAAAGTCTTTCTCATAATTATTTCTGCGTTGAGATCCATCGTTTTTAGACCTCTAGCAGGATATTGCATACTTATAACCTACCTTAATAAATACTCAATTGAAGACAAAAAGAATTATTCAAATCTGATCGATATTTTCAGATATTAGCAAGTTTAAACAAACTCGAAACTTTTCATTCTTAACTAGATTTTGAACGGGGTTCCACTCGCGTAAATGTCGCTAATTGCGGTAAAATGTTTTGTACAGTGTAAAGTGCAGTCTATGTCTTCTTTCAAGAATCAAAGTATCTCCATACTAAATTTCGTCTAAATCGGTTTAGTGGTTATTGATTCCCCATACAAACTTCCACCCCTCTTTTCACTCCCTTAAGGGATGATTTCTGTGATAAAAACTATCCTGTGTGCTTTTCCGGGACTCGGACTATCTCTGTACCAAATTCCATCTAAATCAGTCCAGCGGTTGAAGCCCAAAGACGTAACAGATATACAGACAGACACACTTGGCATTTATAGTATTAAAGTATGGATAGCTGAATATTGTAATTATTATAACACTATACGAGTCCGTAGTTAAGTTAGATCTTTTTTTTGACGTGAGATTTCCGTATCGCTAAATTTAATGATGCAAGAGCAATAGGAAGTACTTTATAGGACTTAATTGACGTTCAAAATGTAAACAAATAATTAAAATGTAAATATCGAACAGATTTTTTGACTAAGTTGATTTAGAATCTTTGTTTATTTACAAATACCTATAAGGGAACGTAGACATAAGTATTGGATGTTTATTTCAATCGAAATCCTCACGATTTACCTCAACGCATTCTTGATAAAAAAAATAGCAACGTGTGTGCAAAATTTTGATGATAATTTAAATAATACAAAAGCGCATTAAATACGCATACATAAATATAAAACAATTTTTACATATCAGATATTTGTTATACATTTAAATAATCATCTGATTTAAAGTACAGCATAGTTTGTTGTTATTTTGTAGTTGAATTGCCCTATTTTGTTATTTATTAATTTCTTCATTCATTTATTTATTCTACAAATCAATCTTCTAAATCAATCTAAAAGTATGCGTCTGTCTACATATAAACTACTATGTATTTGGTTCCGTGCCTATGTGTTTTTTTCTTATTTGGACGTTAGAACGAATAATAAGTTATCTTCGATATATGGAATGCGAATGCTGTCTCATACATAAGCAGGTTTATGTTTATTTTGTGGGTTCAAACGAGCTCCGTATTAATGTTTAAATATATTTAGTATCGCGAGGTCATTCATTATTATTTATATTTATACATTCTTTATTATTATGTAGGTTTTTTTGTAAAATGTCTTATAAGCAACTAGTTTTGCCCGGATTTGTTATTTTAACAGCCCTCAGGATGTATGTTTATGTCTTTTTCTGTACCTTGACAAAATGTAGGTACGCAAAATTTCATAAAGTTTGTTTGAATAGTTTAAATATGAGATTATACAAACTCAAGTTTGCTTTTGTAACATTAGTTAGGATCTATTAATAGATTATATTTTTTAACGTTACTAAATATATTATTATATTTATCATAATAATAAAGTTTTTTTTTATAATTTATATTTATTATTTACGTTACTAAATTAAATGTTTCGATTAGTCTTATGAGTTGATGCTTACTTTTTCAATAATAACAAATGAAATGTTAAACAATATAAATAACAAATGAATTTCAATCGCCACTAATTAATATATTTAAATAATTTTCGAATGTTAAAAGAACCGTTTTATTTCAAACAATATTGTCAACCATGCCATAAATATCCGACGGTAAATTCAAAGTGTATCAGTAAGTATCTTAAATCTATTTTTAAATCAAGTAGTTTTTTTTTATATATCGTACATTATGTATATTAAATTACATAAAGCATTCAACGACTAGGCAGGAGAAGACGAGGAGTAGAGGACGAAATTTTATTCTAGTTTCAACACAATATTATATAATATAATTCTTCAGCTTTTAATTTTAGTGATGAAAAATAAAAAACTTAAATATACCTGTACCTACTTTGATTCATGTAACAAGAAAAAAAGAACCAACGAACTTTACACTAGTCGCACATAATGTGTAAAATCTAACATCCAACTTTGGTACTAATAAAATATACGCTATAAATATAAACGTACCATAAGTAGCATTTAAGACTTGACACAAACCCTATACTAACCCGTTTAGCCAGCGTGGCCTACTTATACCAATAGGTAGGCTCAAATCTCCTTTCTAAGGAGAGGCCTATATCCTGCAGTTGACTATAAAAGGTTGTTGATGAAGTACAATTTGACGGCTAACTTCAGCACCGTGTGAATATAGCTGCGCCGGAGGATGCAAAGAAATACACTTTGGAGTTATTTATGTGTATTGAAAAGAAAGTAATTAATTAGTAAATATGTCGGCAGAAACAATTGAACGATGTTGTATCAAGATTGGCACATCCAAGAGACCGGTAGACGCGGTCACACACCTCGCCTATTAGTGAGTCGGCACCTCGTGTCGGTGAATGTAACTGACGGAAACACTCGTGTCTGTTACTAGGTGGCTAAACTACGCTTATTGGTGCATTAATGTTATAACTAGTTTTCAAATTGGTTACGAATTTAAATATGTTGGTGTTGATTAATGGATAGACGTGTTACGGTAAAAATGATTATCATGTGTATCCGTTAGAATAACGGCTACAGATTATATCTTGAAGAAGAGATGATTGAAAATTGGAATCATTAGAGCAGTACAGCTCTATATTTTTTTTTCGATTGTGCTTTTCATAATTTCTGAAGTATCTATATTATAAAACTAATGATGACAAGGTAAAGAAGAAATTTTCAGAAGAATTAGATGATTGTTCCGTCAATTTTGTTAGATGTGTTAATTGGGATTTGAGGAACTAAAACAAGGTCATATGCATATATATAGAGTAACAGACTGTTTTTGCTTCCCATCAATTCGATAAAATTTTGATGACGCTGATGTTTCAAGAGCAGTCGGGTCACCAGATGGCAAGTAACTATCACTGGCCATCGACACAAGCTACTAGATGTGACAAGGGATTTGTCACCCTTTGAATGCCTCTCCCTTTCAATAGTTATTTTTGTTTGATCCTCCGGTAGCAACAGTCACCCGGTCGGTCGGTCCGTCGATCGAGCCGGCTCAAGTTACACACGGCGTGTTACACACGCTTAACAAAAGTTTAAAACAAAATATTAAAAATATTAGTAAATACATGATTGAATTCATGTGCAAAATGTAGGACTATGTGCAAAGGCACATATCGGGAGAGACCTTTGTCCAGTTGTAAACTGAATAAAACAGACAATAAAATTAAATGTTACCTGAAGCCAATACAAGCCCTTCACCCATCCAAGGTTTTCCGAAATCATAAGCGAAATGTTTTTGCAAACACGCATTTGCAGCAGTTACGCTGTCTTCTGGATCTGATATTACTGGAAGGAAAACATCAGTTAATATTAAATATTGCTAAACAATAGTTCGTTAGGAAAACTATTAATAAAATGCAACTGGTAGACTGTTTTGAAAGAACTGTCAAGATACCATAGAAATTAATAATGATTTGTATATATATATATATTATTTTTTTTTAAAACAACTCCCGCATTAGGAATGTATCCTGTGTCGCGAGAGACTTTACAAACATACATGAAACGAACACAAAGAACACCCAGACTCAGAACAACAATTTGTGGATCACACAAAGTGTCGTCCCATGTGGGATTTGAACCCACACACTCGGCGTAGTAGGAATCGGCGTTGTGACCGCTTAAACCACTACGCCATCATCATCATCATCAACAGCCTTCAATAGTCCACTGCTGGACATAAGCCTCTCCTTAGAAAGGAGGTTTGGGCCTACTATACCACGCTGGCCAGACGGGTTGTCGCCTACGCCATACGTGCAGTCATATATTGCTTAATTAATTGTATATTCAATTTTGTAATTAAACTTAAGAGACATTTCAATTTACAAAATTAGTACTTTGAAAGGTTTGTTGCAGGCTTTATTTTGTCCACTACATAATATCCTCAAGTTAATAATAATAATAATGACCTCCCACATCTCACACACGGCTGTCTGATCCCAAACTAAGCAGAGCCTGTACTATGGTAACCAGACTGCTGATAAATATACTTATATATTTCTGAATACATACATATTATACATAAATTATACAATTACAATCACACAAATATTTGTCCTGGGCGGAAATCGAACCCACGACCGGCTTAGCAGTCAAGGTCACTAACCACTAGACCAACAGGCCCGTGAAGTTGGGTACCTACATTACATATTATGTGGTATCACGTCTTAATCTTAAGAATTTAATAATATGTTTCCCCAGGACATTTTTAGTTTCTTAAATTGTACTATAGTAAAATATTCTGATGCTGTATATAACATATATGTTACTTTTGAGCTGGGTTAATTATATAAGTTTTTATTGTGTGTTTTCCATGTTGAACAAGATAAGTAAGTACATAAGATTTACGTAAGTATCAACTTTAATATATTGTACATACATCAAAAAATTTCACGGTACTAGCTAATTGTATTTACACATAATCAATACACAGTCGAAGTATCAATAAAACGAACTTTGATTAAATATTTAATGTCAATGATACGATTCCTTAATCGATCGACGAAATTAATGTTTAAAAAAAATCATTTTTTTTATCTTAATCGACTTCAAAAGGTAGGTTGGCAAGGGGAGTTTCTCAATTGTTTTTTATGTTTATGATTACTTATGAGCTTGAACATATCAGGTAATAACGCGATATGTTCAAGCTTAAGTTGAAAAAATAATACTTTATTATTTATAATGATTTGAATATTCGCATTGATGTAGGTAATTTTTTTTTTTAAAAGACAACTCCCGCATTAGGAATATATCCTGTTTCGCGGGGGACTTTACAAACATACATAAAACGGACACAAATAACTCCCAGACTCAGAACAACTCACATAAAGTGTTGTCCCATGTGGGGTTTGAACCCACAACACTCGGCGCAGTAGGAAGCGGCGTGGCGACCGCTTAAACCACTGCGCCATCCGTGCAGTCAAAAAAAGTTAGCCATTTGGCAAAATTATAGATCTAAAATATGCATGAGTTATATCGCATACAAAACGGTGGACTTTTAAATTTAACGTAAACAGGACTCAAAGCGCTTAAAATAATACTAAATTAGTGAATATCAGTAAAATAATTTAAAAGTCATGTTTGAATTAATTTGTAAAAAGCACTATTGAGGAAAAACATATACACCTTTTAAAATTGTCATCATCTAAACAAGAAAAATTCTGTGACATTTACGAAGTCTCGCGTACACCTTGTTGAAGGACAGACATAAGTATTCAAACAGATAATATACTTACAATAATATATATCACTTCCAATGAAACCGCACATAACACCCCCTCTTTCCAGCGAGGCCATGGTAAACTTCTTCAGAATATTCCAAAGGTCTGTGAACAATAATTAATATAAATGAGTTAGAAGTAGTCATAGCCAATAACATAGTTAGGTAACATTAGGACGAACAAGATTAGAGATGTTTTACCACAAAATGTCACGGTATTTCGTAGCAATTCGGCCCGACAGTAAAATATACTATCACAAAAATGTTACGTCATTCTAATTTGGACTGACTGACGACTGGATGGTGTAGTGGTTTGTGTAACGGACTGCTATTCCAAAGGTCGCGGGTTCGATACCCGCTCAGGTCAAACATTTGTGTGCATGAACATTTGATGTTTGATTTGGTCTGGGTGTTTCTATGTATAATATGTATGTATTTACAAAAAAAGTATATATGTATTTATATCAGTTGTCTAGTACCCATATTACAAGCTCTGCTTAGTTTGGGACTAGATGGCGTTGTGTGTATGTGGTAGAATATATTATAGAATATATTAATTTAGGGTTCAAAGATAAGGAAGTTGAATATGTAGTACCATACTTAATCTCATCAGTCAGATTATTATTACGAAGGGAGGGGGGGGGGGGGGGGGAATCATATTTGAACCTCACCTACGCACCTACACAATACAAGACTATTGGGTACATACATATATTCCTGAATAAATATACCTACCATAATCTAACATAACAAATAATTGTGTAATGAGCATGGTGATTTGTTCTGTGTCTGGGCGTATGCAATTCTTCAATTCTAACATTATACAGTTGAAGAGTTTGTTTGGTTGGTGTCAGAAATTTCATTTATCGAGGAAGGCTATATAACATCACGCTACGACCGATAGGAGCCGAGCAGCAATGAAATCTGTTGCAAAAACCGACAAAATTTATTTCTTTTGAGAGACGCAAACGGAACAACATGGGTTAGCTAGTCTATAATATATTTGTAATTTAGTATGTTTATTGGCAATCTGATTACCATAGTACAGCTCTGCCTTATTTGGAAGTGTGGAGGTGTTTGATATTATTGTAAAACACGGCAAAAAAATGGTCTAATAATAGGTCCAGTAATTGTCAAGTGTCCTTGAATAAAGTCAAAATATCTTTATTTCATAAAATATTTTAAAATTGTTTGGAATAATCTCTTATGTAGACTCTAAAGTCGTAGATCAACACACAGAATAGCAACCATCTGTTTTGTCAAATATTTAGCAAATAAAAAAATAATAAAAAAATGATTTTTTTTTTATATTTTTTGATCAATAACAAACTTAATATTTGGAAATTGCAATTAATGTTATATTTTTTCCTGTTTCTAGTTGTCAATTTTTCAGGTGCACTCCATTAGGTACACAATACTTTATTCTTATTTTGATCCTGTTAATGTACGAGTACATTTTATATTAACTAATCTAGGTCTCAGAACAGTAATTACTGTTCTAAAACCTAGATTAGTTAGTCAGTAGTAGACGAAAGGGTGATTCTACGAAACCTTTCGTCTCTTGTATGTTTTTGAATGTATCTCTGACAAAATCCCTGCAACATTTTGTGATGACCAATTAAGTTCCTAAGTCGTAAAAGCGTATGAAACAAGTCAACTCACAGTTGCATTTAGAACATTAGGGTTAATTAATAGTAATAATAACTTTACATAATATTATTTTAATATATTAATTTTTAAATAACCTCAAAATTAACTAGCCGCACCCTGCCACACTACGCTGGCTAAAATTGAAGCGGTTTGAAGATAGTGTCAAAATTTGAGCTCAATCGGTGCATTAATTTTCGAGTTTTTAAAGCGTACACAAACCAATTTTACTTCTTAGATATATGGATAGTGATAAAATTATCTGTGCTGTTAAATAGAGAGAAAATATATTTAGATATCACTGTTATTTTGTACAAATTACGTTTATTATATTCGAAAAGCCGGAAATGTGGCTTTTCGAATATAATAACCGTAATTTGTACCGTAATAGTTGAATTAAATCTATGAGTAACAATTTTTTATATACATACAAGATAATTGTTGCTCTATATAAGGAAACTAGTTTTCCTTCGCGCTTTTGCACACCAATTAAATCATAAAAACCATTTAATAATATCAAATTAATTATGTTTTTTTAACTGGTTATTTGTCATAACATTAAAAAAACACATTTTAAATATCTGTGGCTACCTAAACCTATTATGTTTAAGAATTTATAAAAATTTAAAATTAATTATAATATCCTTAACTGTTTATTAAATTTATCGGTCTTTATGATATAATTAAAAACAATAAAGGATAATAATTCCTTTCAACTCTCATTTATTATATTATAATATTAATAAAGCTAAAAAATAATTTAAAAAGTGTAAAAAAAAGAAGTATTTTCAATTATTATACTGGGATAAAAAGTTCACTAGTTTAATATTTTTTTAAAAAGATTACTCCCGCATTAGGAATATATCCTGTCTCGCGGGGGACTTTACAAACATACATGAACTGGACACAAAGAACACCCAGACTCAGAATAAAAATTTGTGGATCACACAAAGTGTCGTCCCATATGGGGATCGGACCCACAACACTCAGCGTAGTAGTAAGCGTGGCGACCGCTTAAACCACTACGCTATCCGTGCAATCAAATAAAACAAGTATTATCTTTATGCTTTTTTCTGATTATTACACTGCGTATTTATTTAATAATTTTAGGCATTGAATTTTTTAAACAGTTTGTGAAATCATTCCATTCAGAGATACTGTTGACACGAACTACAAATAATAAATGAATTATGTACGAAAATGCACGCTAAACAAGTCAACTTTTATTTATTAAAATACCGTTACTTTTGAGACTTTTCCCTTGTAAGCAGAATTCTAATTATTTAAATAAAAAATAATTTAATTAAATAATTATCTTTATTATGCTATTTGTAATACTTTTCAATTACAAACGTAATATTATAGCATTTAAAATATTACTTTAGAACCCCAATACTTACATGAAAATAAATATTATATTTAGTATATTGAGGATTTATGAAATGACGCAAACCGAAACCATTTAAAAAAATGAAGGCATTGGCAAAATGAGCCTAGGAAAATAAATGCCTCAGATAGTAGTCGCCTCTTGGCTAAAGATACCCTTGTAATAAAACCTGGTGTATTGGTGTAGTGTATCTAACAGAATCAGTAAGTTTTGTGATACCCATATTTTGTTAGAAGTAAGGTATTTTCTTTATTCTATTTAATTTATGAACCACAGATAAACAAAGCGTTCCTTATTTGTCAAAGAAACTTACGTGTAGTATTTCCAACAAGCAAGTGCGCATGGCCAAGAATTGGCAGTGCTCCGGGGTATATTGGAGGTAACTTTGTTGTAGCCTTCAAACGCCTCAACTTTGCAGTCCATTTCCACCAGTAGTACAAAAAAATTGTCACAACTCCAAGGATTAACGCCAACATTTTATCACTTTTTTATAAAAATAAAAATAATAAATTGAAAAAAAAATGGTTTAAAATTCGATTTGCATTGTTTTATTTAATAATTTAAATATTAAAAGACATTATTTTTTGAATGAATGCTACAACCTTTAGTCGAGGAGGCACCTGGACTCTACTAAAGGTTATGTAAGAATGTTAAAATTTCGAGGCAGTAGTTTATCGGTACTACATAATCTATTGACGTATTAGATACATATAGATACTGAACAAATTATATGATCCGTTTTGTCCTCCAACCGGTCGTGGGGTTTTACTTTTATGGATATAAAATTACCATATAAATTTGGACCACCGTTTTGCAGATTGAAGTTTAAAAAATGTTTTATAAATAAAAGAACGGAAGCTAGCTTAATATGAAAATGTGTGTACAGAATTACTGCTTAAATACTTGTAGATATTGTTTTTTTCTTGTAGCATTTTAAAAAGTTAATTCAAACAAAAGACACCGTTTGAGATTTAGATTTTTACTTTTCGTAGGTAAATCAAAACCTACTGTCGGTCGATGGGCAGTTATTTATAAGTTTTTAAAAATTCATGAAACTTGTTCATGAATTTTTGAATGACGAGAATCGTTCGCAAATTTGTTGTTATATCACCTAAAAATATTTTTAGCAAATTTCTATTTTGTCATAAACCCTTATATCTTAGATCAACGCTTACGTGGGGGAGAGCATTAGAGAACAGTCACTCAGTCACCGCCAGACACTCACCAGATTTCTAGACTACCCAATACTTGGCTGGTAGTGACCTGGGCATTAACTCCGTCAATGTGTATAAAGTTCCGTCAACACAAGTGCATGAAGTTGCAAATAAATAAATAAAACAGTAAAGTTAAATTGGTCGCTTAAAAAGTTGCATAAGTAAAGGTTTTTTGACCGGCTAAATCAGTCAAAAGTACTTTGAACTGTAACATCATACTGTTATAACCTCATCAAACCCCAATGATTCACTAACAATAGGTGGAATCTGACGCAGCAGTCAAAATTCCATTGCCCAATGTTAGTTGAATATAGTTTTGACCATTTAAGAGTTCTGGCTGTAACACATACATCATCGAGAATCTAACGGGTTTGTACGGGATGCTCATTACTCTGACGCTCAGACTCACCTTGTTTTTTTTGGCTTGGACAAACATTAATCTTTACCTTTTTATAAACGACGTTTAATTCATCAATTACAATGTGAATTTTATTAATTAATGTAATAGGTAAGACCCCGTGTAAGTTTAATCACATCAAATAATTAATAATTAATTTTTGTGTAGTTTTTACTTATTTCACTGGGTATAATCCGTGTAGATTTAATGGATATTAATAGAAATTTTTTGAGAAAGTCAATTCTGTATTTAATAATAATAATATTTTCGGAGATCTGTCACACAACGCCATCTAGTTTCAAACTAAGCAGAGCTTTTACTATAAAAGCCAGATTGACTTTAAAATACTTTAGTCCAGTCAACAAGTTAAACTCATGTTAATTCTTGTTCCCGGTCCTAAAAATATGTGCGATAGCTTATTTGATTCGAAATGACGTCTAGAAAAAGGTATCTCGAGCATTTATTAGCTTTTTTTTGACAAATGTTGAGCACTATATCGTCAGCGTATGGCAGGTCCCAGGGGGAGCCGTTGCAACTTTGCGGTTAGGTGGTTCATTACTAGTATAAAGAGCAGAGGACTCAGCGCTGAACCCTGATGCACACCAACCCTAACTTCTAAATCCTCGCTTTCACCGGCTGGATAACGTACTCTTGTTGTAACGTCTTTGTACATGTCTATGACAATACTGATGTAATATTTTAGTACGTTACTAGGTTGTTTTTCCTCTACGCCTTTGGGAGTCCATTCGCCAGAATTTTGTTGAACACGTTGGTCAGGAACGCTATGCTATCCATTCCTAATTTATTCCATAACTCAACAGAGATATTATCGGGTTCCGTGCCTTAATTCTTAGTCATTGGATTAACGGCTGCCTGTACTTCGCCTGGTGCTATTCACGGTACAGTCCCACGTGTTTCGGCGGTAACTCGATAGGCTGTTTGCCCGGGTATGTTTAATTTAGGAGTTGAGAGTAGTATTCCTTGCATCTTTGTTGGATGTCTTTATCTGAAGTGAGTAACTATCCGCTTTCATTATTAATGTACTTGACGGTTCTCAGATCCCTGATGTTGTTGTTTCTGGATCTAGCTTTCTTGAAAAGTCCGTTATTTTTGTTAGCCGCTACTATTTCGCGTAAAAATCGGCTTCCCACAGGGTTTCGACGCTACCTTTGTCGGTAATGGTGAGAAGGTGGTTAGCGATTTTGTGGCCTTCGTCTTGCTCAAGCCCGTGCCAACGTATTTTTGGTGTTCTATCTTTTCTCACTTTTACAGGTTTACTCAAGAGGAATTCCGCAACCAAAATCCTGTGGTGTGATGTTAGGGATTTCCAGTCTCTAAAAAGCCTTAGGTTCACTCGATTCGCTAATATATAATCTATTTGAGTGTTGTTGCCGCCACTCTTGTAGGTTATGACGTTTAGTATGTAAATGTGAGTACAGTGTAGACTTGTAATGTTAATTCATATTTTATTATCTTTCTGGGGGTTTTGAGTGTTTCCACGGCCTACCCAAATGTCCTGCTTGCGGTAGTGTCATGCTTCGGGTCGTTGATCTTGACCAATATCGGTTAGGCTACACGATGGCTGGAGCCTGTATGCCGTCTGTATGGACAGGTTGACTCAAAACTATGATCCTTTCCTCAAAAAACCCAACCCAGACCCTATACTGTACTCGCACAGTTTTATTTAACTTTGTTTAAGGACTAAAAAAAAAACCACCTCTGTGGTTTGTTTCGGTGATTCTTTCCAGAGTGAGTCTTAGGAAATGCCGGCTCCTTCTAGCTATAAAGTCCGACTTGTAAAAATATCTGAAAAAAGATTTACTTACAGAAATAAATATCATTTCAAATCCCTTGGGGTCGGGTTAATGGTCTTAAAAAAATATTAAGAAAAATTGGCCAAAAGACCAATTTCTTAATATTTCATTTTTTGTTTATTTAAAAAAATTATAACAAAAGAATATAAACATTAAATAAACGTTTATCACGTGATCTTATTGAATATGTATATATGAAGGTACACTCCAAGAAGCAACACTTTTTGGATCAATTACTTAAACTTTTAAACAGAGATTGGATAAAAATTAGTTAATTGACAGTCATATCATCACATCAACATCAACAGCCTATACTAGTCCACTGCTGGACATAGGCCTCTCCTTAGAAAGGAGGTTTTGGCCTACTATACCACGCTGGCCAGACGAGTTGGTATAGGGTTTGTTTCAAGTTTTCCTTCTCTTTGCAGTGCTGTTGTCCTGCTTAGTTTGCTCCCTTAGTCGGATCTTACGACACCCACGGGATGAATTGGGGTGGTGACAATTTGTATTCTTAATCCGTCCCCACACGGACAGTCATATAACTTTTTAAAAATTGACAGGTTTTTTCCAACGTTTTTTCAAGTAACCCGATTACACCATAATTATTTTTTCAAATTTTTAAATTAATATTTAATACTAAAAAAATATATTTTGTGTGATATACTGTCTCAAGCAGCGATGTACTCATGCCGTAATGTGAAGCCGAAAACACATTTTTGTGCGCTTACATTGCAAACTGCAAACAAACATTGCAAACAAACAATTGTGCAAACGCAGAGATCAAAACAATGTACTACAGATTTTTTTTCAAAAAAGTTCACGGTGGTATATATGTATCTCCTAAGAATAACCTATGGTAATCATATTTATCTTATACAAATTAGTAAAAAAAGTTATTTCCGAAGCTATTTGGAACAATACAGTATTATTACTTATCCAATTAAATATGTTAGATACGTTGTGTATTTAATGTAAATCAAAATTGCCCTTCACGTAAAATCATTAAAATGAATATCTTAGAAGTTATTAGAGATTTAAAATATGGGGGCAAAACGTCAAGCTGTACGTCCGCTGCCACCCAGCAGCCGGTATAAATATTATATACTCATGTAAAGATGTATGTATGTAGAATAGTCTTATCATAATAATAGTGTAATTAATAACTCCACACTGATACCACATTAGTAGTATCTACTTTGTACCCGGGCGGGTACGGGTAGCCGGGTCGGATTGCTAGTATATATTAAATTGAAGTATGGGAGTGGAATGGTCCGGCATGGATTCGGCATAAATGGGCCGGCTCGATCGGTGTGATACCACGGCTTTACAGAGAGAAAGAGAAAGAGAGAAAGAAGTTACCGGAACCCAAAATCCCCCTATTTCTGGGGAGGGGGAGGGGGACTCAAACGGTGGTCTGGGTATGATAGTATAACGTTATTATTATTATTAATCTTTTGTACTTTTGAGGTCGATTTGCCTTGCCAAACCTTGGTATGTATATAAATTTGTAAGTTAATGAGATTATAAAATATATCATTAGAGATTGTATATTATAATACTAGCTATTATTTCGTGTTTCTAACTTTGAAAATAACGAATTTCCATACAAATGTTCATCCCTTTTATTGGTGAAATTTTCAAAGATCCTTTCTGATGGTATGTTTCTTACAACATCAGCTGCCGAAATTGCAAGTTTGTAGCCTGAGGCTTTGCGTTCTTGAATAAGTCAGTTAGGCCAAGTAATTTTATTTATGTCTAGATATCAAAACCGTAATATTTTAGATTGTCAGATAGTTACTGACACAAACATTTAGTTTTAACTCTACGTCATTGTTCTTACTTCCTATTTTAAAAACCAACCAGTAAATAACCAACTAACCAGTAAATTGACTTTGTATTACACATTAGTAATAAAATTCATCAACAAAAATAAAACAGGAAATGTCATCTTACGCGCCCACTATAGCACGACGTATAACATTACTTTTGCCTCGAGGGGAATCTACTTTGATTTATGTTAAACATAGAATAAGATTGAGGTTTACAAGTTG